GGTTTTAGGGGCCCATGGCAGATTAGGGGCCTGGCAGCAGCTTATGGAGGCCCGTTAATCTGCCAGCACCCTATGTCAAAAAATGGAACCCACCAGCAGTGTGAGGAGACCTGAAAGTGGCACATGGGCCAGAGTGTGTGATTAGGGGCCTGGCAGCAGCTTTGGGAGGCCCGTAATCTGCCAGCACCCTATGACAAAAAATGGAACACACCAGCAGTGTGAGGAGACCTGAAAGTGGCACATGGCAGAGTGTGGCGATGGAGACAGCAGCAATGGGAGGCCGTACAGGGACCCATGAGAGACTCTGGACTTGGCAGCAGCATGAGGAGGCGGTGGTATAGGGGCCCATGGCAGATTAGGGGCCTGGCAGCAGCTATGGGAGGCCCGTAATCTGCCAGCACCCTATGACAAAAAAATGGAACACACCAGCAGTGTGAGGAGACCTGAAAGTGGCACATGTTTGGGGCATGATTCATGGCAGATTTAGTCAGTTGTGTCAGGAACTGGTGGTTTGAAATCCAGACTAATCCACGCCTGATTCAGTCGTGTCCTCCGCGGAGTTGCAATACCTCCTGCCGCACTAAACACGCGCTCCGATGCCACGCTACTGGCCGGGCATGACAGCCTTTCAAGGGCAAATTCAGCTAGTTGGGGCCAAAGGTCAAGTTTCGTTGCCCAGTAGTCAAGGGGATTGTCTACCTCGGTTGGCAGGGTGCTGTCCAAGTAGGCCTAAGCCTGTTGTTTGAGGTCCTGCTCCAGGTCCACCTGATGCTGCTGCTGCTGCTGCTGCGGCTGGTTAGTAGTTTCCTCACTGCGCTGGTGAAGAAAGCTACTCATCATCGACTGCAGACTGAGGCAGCCGCTGCTGGTGGAGCTGCCACTGCTCCTACCACCCCACACCCTCCCCTGCTGCCATGGCAGCGGAACGCGAGCGCACAGGGCCCACAGTGTCTGAGGATGGACGTTGGCGCAGACAGGCAGAGACCAGCTGACTACATAGGGGTTTTTATAGTACGTTATTTTGGCCTCCCTCTCAGCAGGTGTGAAAAAAGGCCACCATTTTTGAACGGTAGCGAGGGTCCAACAAGGTGGACAGCCAAAAGTCATCCCTCTGTCTGATGGTTATTATTCGGCTGTCGCTACGCAAGCAAGCGAGCATGCTATGGGCCATTTGTGCCAAGGAATGCGAGGGACTCCCTGCCTCCATCTCCACAGCATACTGCCACGGTGCGTCTGGGTCCTCTGTCTCCTCTTCCTCCTCCTCTACCAGATGCTCCTGCTCCTCCACTCCTGTCCGCTGAGTGGAAAAAAACCACCCATTTCACTCAATAATTCCTGAGCACCAATGTCCTCCTCTACCTCCTCCTCTTCTTCCTGTCCTGCCCCCACAGGGGTCATGTGGCGTTGAGATCTGTGCGCCACGTCTACCGCACCCTGACCAGCCATTGTTAACAGCATTTGTTCCAGGACGTGCAACAGAGGAATGACGTCGTTCATCCCATAGTCCTGCCGACTCACGAATAGCGTGGCCTCCTCAAAGGGCCTGAGCAAGCGCAGGTGTCACGCATGAGCTGCCAATGGCTGACATCTAAGTTACACAGGGAGTACCTTTATCCGCTTTTAACATCAGGAAATCTGTGATGGCCTTTTGCTGTTCGTAAAGGCGGTCTAACATATGTAGGGTTGAATTCCACCTTGTTGCAACGTCACAGCATGAGGAGTCGGTATAGGGGCCCATGGCAGATTAGGGGCCTGGCAGCAGCAATGGGAGGCCCGTAATCTGCCAGCACCCTATGTCAAAAAATTCAACACACCAGCAGTGTGTGAGGAGACCTGAAAGTGGCACATGGCAGAGTGTGGCGATGGAGACAGCAGCAATGGGAGGCCGTACAGGGACCCATGAGAGACTCTGGACCTGGCAGCAGCATGAGGAGGCGGTATATAGGGGCCTATGGCAGATTAGGGGCCTGGCAGCAGCTATAGGAGGCCCGTAATCTGCCAGCACCCTATGTCAAAAAATTCAACACACCAGCAGTGTGTGAGGAGACCTGAAAGTGGCACATGGCAGAGTGTGGCGATGGAGACAGCAGCAATGGGAGGCCGTACAGGGACCCATGACAGACTCTGGACTTGGCAGCAGCATGAGGAGGCGGTATATAGGGGCCTATGGCAGATTAGGGGCCTGGCAGCAGCTATAGGAGGCCCGTAATCTGCCAGCACCCTATGTCAAAAAATTCAACACACCAGCAGTGTGAGGAGACCTGAAAGTGGCACATGGCAGAGTGTGGCGATGGAGACAGCAGCAATGGGAGGCCGTACAGGGACCCATGACAGACTCTGGACCTTGGCAGCAGCATGAGGAGGCGGTATATAGGGGCCCATGGCAGATTAGGGGCCTGGCAGCAGCTATAGGAGGCCCGTAATCTGCCAGCACCCTATGTCAAAAAATTCAACACACCAGCAGTGTGTGAGGAGACCTGAAAGTGGCACATGGCAGAGTGTGGCGATGGAGACAGCAGCAATGGGAGGCCGTACAGGGACCCATGACAGACTCTGGACTTGGCAGCAGCATGAGGAGGCGGTATATAGGGGCCTATGGCAGATTAGGGGCCTGGCAGCAGCTATGGGAGGCCCGTAATCTGCCAGCACCCTATGTCAAAAAATTCAACACACCAGCAGTGTGTGTGAGGAGACCTGAAAGTGGCACATGGCAGAGTGTGGCGATGGAGACAGCAGCAATGGGAGGCCGTACAGGGACCCATGACAGACTCTGGACTTGGCAGCAGCATGAGGAGGCGGGGTATATAGGGGCCCATGGCAGATTAGGGGCCTGGGCAGCAGCTATGGGAGGCCCGTAATCTGCCAGCACCCTATGTCAAAAAATTCAACACACCAGCAGTGTGTGAGGAGACCTGAAAGTGGCACATGGCAGAGTGTGGCGATGGAGACAGCAGCAATGGGAGGCCGTACAGGGACCCATGACAGACTCTGGACTTGGCAGCAGCATGAGGAGGCGGTATATAGGGGCCCATGGCAGATTAGGGGCCTGGCAGCAGCTATGGAGGCCCGTAATCTGCCAGCACCCTATGTCAAAAAATTCAACACACCAGCAGTGTGAGAGGAGACCTGAAAGTGGCACATGGCAGAGTGTGGCGATGGAGACAGCAGCAATGGGAGGCCGTACAGGGACCCATGAGAGACTCTGGACCTGGCAGCAGCATGAGGAGGCGGTATATAGGGGCCCATGGCAGATTAGGGGCCTGGCAGCAGCTATGGGAGGCCCGTAATCTGCCAGCACCCTATGTCAAAAAATTCAACACACCAGCAGTGTGTGAGGAGACCTGAAAGTGGCACATGGCAGAGTGTGGCGATGGAGACAGCAGCAATGGGAGGCCGTACAGGGACCCATGACAGACTCTGGACCTGGCAGCAGCATGAGGAGGCGGTATATAGGGGCCTATGGCAGATTGGGGCCTGGCAGCAGCTATGGGAGGCCCGTAATCTGCCAGCACCCTATGTCAAAAAATTTCAACACACCAGCAGTGTGTGAGGAGACCTGAAAGTGGCACATGGCAGAGTGTGTGGCGATGGAGACAGCAGCAATGGGAGGCCGTACAGGGACCCATGAGAGACTCTGGACCTGGCAGCAGCAGCATGAGGAGGCGGTATATAGGGGCCCATGGCAGATTAGGGGCCTGGCAGCAGCTATAGGAGGGCCGTAATCTGCCAGCACCCTATGTCAAAAAATTCAACACACCAGCAGTGTGTGTGAGGAGACCTGAAAGTGGCACATGGCAGAGTGTGGCGATGGAGACAGCAGCAATGGGAGGCCGTACAGGGACCCATGACAGACTCTGGACTTGGCAGCAGCATGAGGAGGGCGGTATATAGGGGCCCATGCAGATTAGGGGCCTGGCAGCAGCTATGGGAGGCCCGTAATCTGCCAGCACCCTATGTCAAAAATTCAACACACCAGCAGTGTGTGAGGAGACCTGAAAGTGGCACATGGCAGAGTGTGGCGATGGAGAGACAGCAGCAATGGGAGGCCGTACAGGGACCCATGAGAGACTCTGGACTTGGCAGCAGCATGAGGAGGCGGTATATATAGGGGCCCATGGCAGATTAGGGGCCTGGCAGCAGCTATGGGAGGCCCGTAATCTGCCAGCACCCTATGTCAAAAAATTTCAACACACCAGCAGTGTGTGAGGAGACCTGAAAGTGGCACATGGCAGAGTGTGGCGATGGAGACAGCAGCAATGGGAGGCCGTACAGGGACCCATGAGAGACTCTGGACTTGGCAGCAGCATGAGGAGGCGGTATATAGGGGCCTATGGCAGATTAGGGGCCTGGCAGCAGCTATGGGAGGCCCGTAATCTGCCAGCACCCTATGTCAAAAAATTCAACACACCAGCAGTGTGTGAGGAGACCTGAAAGTGGCACATGGCAGAGTGTGGCGATGGAGACAGCAGCAATGGGAGGCCGTACAGGGACCCATGACAGACTCTGGACCTGGCAGCAGCATGAGGAGGCGGTATATAGGGGCCCATGGCAGATTAGGGGCCTGGCAGCAGCTATGGGAGGCCCGTAATCTGCCAGCACCCTATGTCAAAAAATTCAACACACCAGCAGTGTGTGAGGAGACCTGAAAGTGGCACATGGCAGAGTGTGGCGATGGAGACAGCAGCAGCAATGGGAGGCCGTACAGGGACCCATGAGAGACTCTGGACCTGGCAGCAGCATGAGGAGGCGGTATATAGGGGCCCATGGCAGATTAGGGGCCTGGCAGCAGCTATGGGAGGCCCGTAATCTGCCAGCACCCTATGTCAAAAAATTCAACACACCAGCAGTGTGTGAGGAGACCTGAAAGTGGCACATGGCAGAGTGTGGCGATGGAGACAGCAGCAATGGGAGGCCGTACAGGGACCCATGAGAGACAGACTCTGGACTTGGCAGCAGCATGATGGGAGGCGGTATATAGGGGCCCATGGCAGATTAGGGGCCTGGCAGCAGCTATGGGAGGCCCGTAATCTGCCAGCACCCTATGTCAAAAAAATTCAACACACCAGCAGTGTGTGAGAGACCCTGAAAGTGGCACATGGCAGAGTGTGGCGATGGAGACAGCAGCAATGGGAGGCCGTACAGGGACCCATGAGAGACTCTGGACCTTGGCAGCAGCATGAGGAGGCGGTATATAGGGGCCCATGGCAGATTAGGGGCCTGGCAGCAGCTATAGGAGGCCCGTAATCTGCCAGCACCCTATGTCAAAAAATTCAACACACACAGCAGTGTGAGGAGACCTGAAAGTGGCACATGGCAGAGTGTGGCGATGGAGACAGCAGCAATGGGAGGCCGTACAGGGACCCATGACAGACTCTGGACTTGGCAGCAGCATGAGGAGGCGGTATATAGGGGCCCATGGCAGATTAGGGGCCTGGCAGCAGCTATGGGAGGCCCGTAATCTGCCAGCACCCTATGTCAAAAAATTCAACACACCAGCAGTGTGAGAGGAGACCTGAAAGTGGCACATGGCAGAGTGTGGCGATGGAGACAGCAGCAATGGGAGGCCGTACAGGGACCCATGAGAGACTCTGGACCTGGCAGCAGCAGCATGAGAGGAGGCGGTATATAGGGGCCCATGGCAGATTAGGGGCCTGGCAGCAGCTATGGGAGGCCCGTAATCTGCCAGCACCCTATGTCAAAAAATTCAACACACCAGCAGTGTGTGAGGAGACCTGAAAGTGGCACATGGCAGAGTGTGGCGATGGAGACAGCAGCAATGGGAGGCCGTACAGGGACCCATGAGAGACTCTGGACCTGGCAGCAGCATGAGGAGGCGGTATATAGGGGCCTATGGCAGATTAGGGGCCTGGCAGCAGCTATAGGAGGCCCGTAATCTGCCAGCACCCTATGTCAAAAAATTCAACACACCAGCAGTGTGAGGAGACCTGAAAGTGGCACATGGCAGAGTGTGGCGATGGAGAAGCAGCAGCAATGGGAGGCCGTACAGGGACCCATGACAGACTCTGGACTTGGCAGCAGCATGAGGAGGCGGTATATAGGGGCCCATGGCAGATTAGGGGCCTGGCAGCAGCTATGGGAGGCCCGTAATCTGCCAGCACCCTATGACAAAAAATGGAACACACCAGCAGTGTGTGAGGAGACCTGAAAGTGGCACATGTTTGAGGCATGATTCATGGCGGATTTAGTCAGTTGTGTCAGGAACTGGTGGTTTGAAATCCAGACTAATCCACGCCTGATTCATTTTCACAAACGTGAGTCTCTCCACACTTTGGGTGGACAGTCGTGTCCTCCGCGGAGTTACAATACCTCCTGCCGCACTAAACACGCGCTCCGATGCCACGCTACTGGCCGGGCATGACAGCCTTTCAAGGGCAAATTCAGCTAGTTGGGGCCAAAGGTCAAGTTTCGTTGCCCAGTAGTCAAGGGGATTGTCTACCTCGGTTGGCAGGGTGCTGTCCAAGTAGGCCCAAGCCTGTTGTTTGAGGTCCTGCTCCAGGTCCACCTGATGCTGCTGCTGCTGCTGCTGCTGCGGCTGGTTAGTAGTTTTCCTCACTGCGCTGGTGAAGAAAGCTACTCATCATCGACTGCAGACTGAGGCAGCCGCTGCTGGTGGAGCTGCCACTGCTCCTACCACCCCACCCCTCCCCTGCTGCCATGGCAGCGGAACGCGAGCGCACAGGGCCCACAGTGTCTGAGGATGGACGTTGGCGCACAAAGGCAGAGACCAACTGACTACATAGGTGGTTTTTATAGTACGTTATTTTGGCCTCCCTCTCAGCAGGTGTGAAAAAGGCCACCATTTTTGAAACGGTAGCGAGGGTCCAACAAGGTGGACAGCCAAAAGTCATCCCTCTGTCTGATGGTTATTATTCGGCTGTCGCTACGCAAGCAAGCCGAGCATGCTATGGG